ATATATATATATATGCCAGGCACCACTGTAGTATTTCTGTTTGCTTTTTATTTGTTTGTTTTTCAAGACAGGGTTTCTCCGTATTGCTTTGGAGCCTGTCCAGGAACTTGCTTTGTAGATCAGGCTGGCCTCGAATTCACAGAGATCTGCCTGCCTCTGCCTCCCGAGTGCTGGGATTAAAGGCATGTGCCACCAATGCCCGGCTTTCTGCTTGGTTTTTACAATTTCATGTATATATTCTGGTCACATCTGCACCCCTGCAATCACCTTCTCTTACACGCACTTGTGCATCTTAAATGGTGACATTCTTTGACTAGAGACTCTCCCCTGCTCAGTTAGTAGGCTAGTGCGGATTTCAAAATACATGTCCCTTTTACCCTAACCCTCTTTCTCCCCTGTGGTCTCCAGTGTTCTGTTCTTATCATGGTACTTACCTCCCTCAGTAGCCATCTCTTTTCCAGCAGGGAAGGCCCTGGAAAGTCCTGTCCTTCTTTCCCTAGATACCTTACCTGTAGTTCTGGGATACCCAGTATTGCCCTGTAATGGGACTTGCTCTAATCTGCCTTGTGTTTGTACAAATTTGACCTCTCTAGATTATGCAGTCCTGGAGCCAGAGGCCTGGCTTACATGTCCTTGTGTTCTGCCTATATTTGTAAGATCCAAGGATGCTCAGGAAGTAGCTAAAAGCTCATCTGTCCCTGAAACATCTAGAGCCCACACACCCATCTTTGGTTTCCAAGGAGCATCTTCAAAAGGATCTGGTATTGGCTGCTACCCTCCATGGTCCTGGGACTCATCTATCACAAGTTATAGTGCTCGGTGGTTTGGTCAAGTATCAACATAGATGTTTCTGTGAAAGAATGTTTTAGATGTGACTAACATTTAAGTCAGTGGGCTTTTGTTTGTTTGATACAGAGTCTTTTTTTTTCTATTTTTTAAATTTATTTATTTTATATAACCAAGACCATTTAAATGAAAACAAACATTTATAAACAATATTTGGGAATTTGATACAGAGTCTTAATAATCTACAGCCCACACTGGTTTGGAACTCACTCCATAGCCCACGATGGCTTCAAATCTATGGCAACCCCCCTGCCAGTTTCCTGAGTGCCAGGATTACAGGTGTAAGCCACCATGCCTGACTAAACCAGTGGACTTTGAGTAAAGCAAAGTGCCCTTGAGTAGTGTTTTCTATCACTGTAACAAAGCTGGGTAGTGGTGTCACTCTGGAGGCAGAGGCAGGTGGATTTCTGAGTTTGAGGCCAGCCTGGTCTATAGGACAGCCCAGGATAGCCAGGGCTTCAGAGAAACAGTCTAAAAAAAAACTGACCAACTGACTGACAAAATGACCCTGATACATGTGTGATCACAGTTTTGGAGGATTTGGAGAGGCCGGGCATCACAATGGGTCCATGAGGAGCAAGGCTTCTCATTACATTGAGAGGAGAATGGCTATTCCCAACCTAATTTCCATCAAGTCCTTCATCTCATCACCTTCCAGTTTTCAAGCAGTTTGGTGCCCTGGAGGGTTGCAGAAAAAAAAAAAAAAAAAAAAAAAAAAAAAAAAAAAAGGTTCCCACGGTGGGTTATTGAGGCCATGCAGGCTAATGCTGTAAACTTGACACGATCTACAATCCTGTCAAGCAGGAGCAGGCCCATGAAGGACTGTCTAGATTAGATTAGCCTTTAATGTTTTGAGGGATTATCTCGATTATATTGAGGTGGCACTGTCCCATGCACTAGGGCCTTGGGCTGCATAAAAAGGAGAAATGAAGCTGAGCACAAGCTGTCGTTGTAGTTCCCAAGTTCCCAAGCTGCATCTCCAAGTTCCTGTCATCAGGACAGACTGTGCTTTCAAACTGTGAGCCCAGATAATCTTTCCTTAAGGTTGCTTCTATCAGGTTTTTGTAACTAAGAAAATGTAACTAATACAAGGGCATATTCCCAATGACTTCCTCCCACTGGAAGTGGACTGGAGACCAAGCTTTTAACATGGACCTTCAGGGGACCTTACCTAAACAAAAGCATTTCTGTAAATGTGGTTGGGTTTTCTACAGTTGAAAGCCTTGAACTGAGGTGCCCAAAGAAGGACTCTACCTTTAGGTTCAAGACTTCAGGAGCTCTGGCCTATTGGTCATTTTAAAAAATTTTGATTTGCTAGCCCTCACAACTGACTCAGTGCCTTGATCTCTCTCTCTCTCTCTCTCTCTCTCTCTCTCTCTCTCTCTCTCTCTCACACACACACACACACACACACACACACACACACCTTTAAAAACTTCCTGCTATATTGGTTGTTTTTCTGCAAAGCACTACTTCCATCATTACTGGATTAATTCATAGCCCCTTCACTCAAACAAAACACCAAGTGAATTGCCCTTCAAATAACTTCAATGTCTTTGGTGTCACAGGCCTTACAAAGACAACACAGTGACTTTCAAGAGTATGGGAAGATGTGCCAGAAAGTCTGCCATTCTGATTTTCAAGTTGGCAAAGCTGACCTTGCAAACCATGCCAAGGTCCAAGACAAGCAAGAGACTGATCAGCCATGGCATAAGCTGCTTCCTATGTCCAAGATGGGCAAGAGACTGATCAGCCATAGGATAGGTTGCATGAGATCAAGACGGAGTTCACACAAACCTCTGTCTTTCCTTTTAGGAGTTAATAAAACAGACCACCATGAACTTCAGCAAGGGCCTTGGGCTTCTGCCATGACCTCTGATGAGAGAAATACGGCCAGGGCACAAGGACAAATTAATTACTAGCTGACTGGGTTATTGGGGCATGTACCAAACTTAAACTTCTAGAGATTTGTTATTTGATTTTTCAACTCAGCCATCACAGAAGGGAGAACAATAAAAAACCCTGAGTAATGGCTGAGCAGTGGTGGCACACACCTTTAGTCCCAGCACTCGGGAGAGAGAGGCAGAGGCAGGTGGATCTCTGTGAATTTGAGGCCAGCCTGGTCTATAGATCCAGTGCCAGGAGAGGCTCCAAAGCTACACAGAGAAACCCTGTCTCGAAAAACAAAAACAAAGCACAAGACCCCCCAAAAAACAAACAAACAAACAAAGAACCTGGGTAAGAACCAGAACCCAGAACTCTGAAACTGTGAGAGGCTGGAGCAATCAGCAAGTTCTACAGGGACATTTTAATGAATCAATAGGGACCTACCTGGCCACATATAGAATGGGGAGAGGGCTAGATTGTCAAGAAGTGAGCTGCAGCTTCAGCAGTGGCCTTAGGAATTGAGCAGTCTGTAGTCTCTTATCTGCCAGTGACTACTTGGGACAATTTTCATCCTTGCCAGCCTCCGGCTCTAGTGAGGATCAGTCATATTGGGTGAAGGAGGTGGGCGTATGGAGAGAGGAGGCTGTAGGGTGCTACAGGGTTGCAAATAGCACTGTTAGATCAAGTGTCTTTCCCATCCATGAGCTAAATGGTCTTGGTCAATTTATTTGACTCCTCAAAGAACTATCTACTTTATAATCCATAATGACAACAATGCCTGCTTTGTGTGGTTGTTTTCTTAGGGTTAAATAATTAACACATAAAGCAATATTTGGATTTGGCACAAACAATGTTTAGCAATTTTTGTTTTGAGGCAGGGCCTCTCTATGAAGTCGTGGCTATTCTGGATCTTGCTATAAAGACTAGGACGGCCTTGAACTCAGATCCTCCTGCCTTTGCCTCCTGAGTGCTGGGATTAAAGGCGTGTGCCACTACACCCAGCTTTAGCAGTGTTTTAGTTTTTAGAATTATTTTTTTTATTGTATTGTATGTATGTTTGTGTGTATGGAGGGATGGTGGTGTGTATGTGTGCATGTGCCACAGCCTGTAGGAGAGGTTAGAGGACAGTTCTGTTTCAATCTCCTATCTCACCATGCAAATGCTTTTGCCAAATGAGCTATTTCCATGCTACACAATTAAGTTTTCAATAGGTCTTTGCTAATATTAATTGAACAATATGACAGTTACCCTCAAATGTTTTTATGAGCCTTTATTTAGCTAGAAGAGAACAAACACACTGGAAAACCTGCGGAAGGCACACAGGAGTTACAAGTCCTTTCTACTAAAAAGTACAGTCTAGAAGAGGAAGTCATGGTCCTGGATGCTAGAACACGATACAACAGTCATCTGTGGGGACTGGGTGCCTGGCAGAAGGAACCCTGGGGACTACCTAAACCTGACACTATCTTTCTTGCACTTGGTTTTTGGATCTCCTTAGCCCAGAGGTACAGAACATTTACACACAGCCTGTTCTAACAAGGTCCAAGAATGGAGTTGGGTGAGAATTATGAGTGCTGGTGAGAAAACTCAAAGAGTCTTGGAACCTCAGTTTCTTCAAAAATTTGGTATTGTTCTTGAAATGTGTTTGCATGCCCCTCCCAAGTGCAGCAGATGGAAATGAGCTTACTTCAGACTATTCGTCACAACAGGCTGTTGTTTATATGCCTCTATGGAAAAACAGGTTTTTTTTTGCCTAATGTAGCTTGCCCTTGTGATTGTATATAGCTTGACCTCTGGAGAATTTTACTCAGGTGAACTTTCTTAACCCTCAGAGTATAAAATGATGCTCTAAATAAAGTTGGCTATTGCATGAAACTTTAGTGTGCCTCATTTTTAGCTTTCGCTTTTCCAGGTCCAACCACCAACTAAAGTGATGAATATCAGCTATGCTCTGAAAATTCCAGCAAAACATTGAAGTCTCACTTGAGTCTCCTAAGTGCCCCAAAACTCACTAGGTGATGGGAAGTGAAACTGGGCAAGCTCTTATTTTGCCTTGGAGAATCAGTGGCCCATGACCAACCAGGATCAATATCCTTTTTTTGTAAATAGACCAAACGGCTAAAATACGACACAAAGCAGTCTCCAATACCTCAGGCCACTTTGGTAACACAGCAAGTCACAGAAGACCTGACTGCAGGTCAGCACCACACACAGGGGACCCGCCACCTCCACCCTCCCAGTGGAAGACAAGAAGGCGACAGAGCAGCTCTGTGAATAAAACTTTAATGATGTACAGCAGAAATTGGACAGGCTCGTTCTTATATTAAAACAAAAAATTTCCTATATTACAATATATTTACATTTGCATACTGAAGAGGTAAAGTGTCTAAGTGGCTATTTTACAATCCTTTCTAATAAATTGTACAAAAAACAAACAGAAGTACCGAGAATGCCGTTCAGGAGCCTTGATAGCGGCGACCTAAGAACGGGCTTGGACTTGGTCTGTGAATCCAGAATCCAGAGGTGCAGGTAGCCCTGTGGATCAGGGTAGCCTCGGGGAACCAAAACACAGCTTCAGTTTCTCCCAACTCTCAGCTTAATGTAAAGAGTAGTGGGACAGGGGTGAAGTTTCCCCCAAACCTGCTCAAGTCTTCCTGAGAGGCGGACGAGCTGGACTACACACTGGGAGCAGAAGGGCCCCCAGGAGTAGGATGGTGGCACGGGAGCCGCTGTGTGGGTGTATGCTGGAGGACAGCAGAGGACTCTACAGTTCCATCGTCACCTGTAATCACGAAGGTGCAGCTGCAGGGTGGGGGTGGGATGTCAGCAGGGATGGGTTAAGAGGTTCCCCCAATGACACAACTGGGACTCAAGGGAAATTGTTCAATGGCCAGTAAATTGGCCCAAAGAATTAAAGGAAGATCCCCTTTAATGCAAGGAAAGAAGTTATACATCAGGAAATAAATAGAAAGGCCAAGAACATGGGGAGAACAAGGCAGGAGAAGCTGGACTGCAGGCAGTTTCCCTGCAGATACACACTCATGCCTCCCCTGGGGCAGGAAGGGGCACACAACCAAGGCAGTGCTTTGGGGTCTCACCTGGGTTTCTGAACTCCAGGCCTCATTGCTCACCAACGGGTCTCTCTGCCCGAGGGGACACAGGCTCCTCTCCTCAGTGGTCTTAAGAACAGTAATCCCAAGCTCATAAAGGCTCTCAGAACCAGCCACGGGCCCTTCTGCTCTCAAAGCGGGTGCTCATCCACTCACATGATTCCATTCCTCCTCCCATGCTCCCGGTGTAGCACCCAAGCCTGTCCCATTCGCAGAGGTCCTCCCAGCTCCAGCACTCGACCCAAATATGCTGAGCAAATGTCTGGAAAGGGAGCAACCACATGGACAATGCACAAGAGGCTGAGGGTGCTCAGGGATGGGGGTGTGCATGGAATACAAGACACCACGTCCCCAGGGGGAGGAGGAACTCACTGCTGAGTGGAAACAGGCTCAGGTGCAAAGACAAACGTTTCCAGTGACTGAACTATGTGCGTTTGATTCTAGAGAATTTTTTTTGTGGTGTTTTGTTTGTTTTAGGGATTTCTTTAAAAACAAACAGACTAAGAGGTAATTGTCACATAGAGATGGTTTTCCTTTTACAAAAACTTAACAGTATTAAAGTTAAAATCCTGACCCTCCCAATAAAATAAAATAAAATGAATTAAAATAAACCACTCCAGTTAAAAGTTATGGCTTCAAAGTTATTATATACCTAAGATATGCTGACCAAATCACCACCCATAGCCAGGCTTCTAGAATTCATTAAATACTACACTTAGGTTAAACACCATTATTTAACTCAGACTGCTCCCTTCAGTGGGGATCCTGAAGTGAATTCCAATCTCTCATCTTCCCTCTACCCTCATCAGAGATTCCAGTACAAGAAGGCTCATGCAGATGCCTCCCTCCCACCCTTGGCTCCCTCCCCACTCCCTGCAGCCCAACCCTTCCCACCCCAAACCCACCACCACCACCACCACCACCAAAAATATACACTGCAGTTTGTAGAATCTGGGGTGGGACAAACAGATGTCACATTCCAATCTGAGTCCCGAGATCTGGCTTCAGATCCCTTGGCCCTTCCTCACTGCTGTTGAGGAAGATGCCCTTGGGCTGGCTCATTTCCCATGGCTGATACTGAAACACAACACCCAAGACTTGCAGGATAGTCTTCCTCCCTCTGCTCATTCTCCCCCCACCCCCATTTTGACCCAAAAGCCTCTCCTACCATGGACAAGTGGGCCAGCTTTGGTTCTGGTCTGAATGGAAGAGGAGGGCCTGTGATACAGGGTGGGCAATCAGCTTGCTGAGAAGAGGGCCACCCTGACAGGAGCTAGGGACGGGAGGGACTTTCAGGAGGGCACCAGGTTAATGAGATGCCGCTCACTGTGACAGGTGCCAGTACTCAGAGACAGTATGGCCACCACACCCTGGCCTGCACATGCACAGAAAGCTCAAGCAGATAAGTGTGCACCTACAGACACACATACACACACGTGTAAGGGCATGGCACAGACCAGGCACAATGTGGGACACACCTCGGCACATGCACACTTGGCTGGACAGACAGGCAGCAGGTGGTATCTCTAGTGGCAGTCCCTTCAGATGTCCATGAGGAAGGGGATGGTGTGTGTGGCTCAGGACTGCCTGTGAGAGGGGCTACACTTCCGGTTGCTCTGAATACCTTGGTGCCAGGTTGACTGGTCCCTGGAGGAAAACCTGCAGTCCAGCAGACCACAAGGCATAAGGACTGCTCCGGGGAGAGCCCAGCACCCCTTCACCATTCCTGGCTACAGGACAGATGCACTGGGTTTTGTGTACTTCCCAATGCAAGCAGTTCGACTTGTGGCATCGAGTTCTCTACGTAATTTGCTCTCAGAGTCTCCATGCCATCAGGAGGTAAATATAAAAAGTGTCTATGTCTCAAACCCAATATGGGAGTGTGCGATCTCCCAGGCTCTGTCCCTCTTGCAGGCCAGGGCTCTGGCCAGAGGGCTGGGCAGAAACAAGAGGTAGGCCTCCAGTACGCTTGCACGGTGGCTGCAGTCACCCTCACTGCCCAGGTTCTTTGTGTAGGCAGAGGAGCAGCTCAGATCTTCACGTCTTCCTGCACGCTCAGCTGGGACAGAGTCTTCTTGATGCGCAGCGCTGTCAGGCGGGCAGCACCATTGGCATACCAGCACTCCCGCATCATCTTCCCCATCACCCGCAAAGCCTGCACAGAGAAATCCACAGTGAACCACAGAAGCCTTGGCACTGAGTCCTTGCCGCCTCCCTGTCAGTCAGGTCAGACCCACCCACAATGTTTTGCATGCTTTCTTCCTTGGCTTTTCCTTCCCCAGAGGGCAAGTGTACAAGGGAAGGAAATGGCAGTATCAGAAGGCTGGTTCTTTCAGCTTCACACTCAGCTAAATCCACTTCCAGGTGCCCAAGGTACATTTTGGGAAATGCTTTCCCTTTCACAACCTGTGGGCACTGGCTAAACTGTGCCTGGAATTGCAGAAACGCCCCCTAGCGTCCAGGATCTTTAAGGGCAGGTCGAGGTCTCTACTCATGGTAGTTTAAGTATAAAGGGAGAGGAAGCCTTTACCTTGCAAGCTTTGCAGAATTAGCAGAGCTTACACCTCAGAGGTTCTTATTAGCAGTCTTAAAGTACTGTCCACAACCTACTCTGGATGTGAAGTCAGCACAGAAAACCTCAATTATAAGTTTGGCAAGAACTTTGCTTGTAGGCTTCACTTCCAAGGGGATACTCTATAATGGCCAGAAAAATGAGTACAGTCACAAAGGACTCAGTGTGTAATGGCACAGACTGAGCACCCCGTATCTGAGATGTGTGGGACAGGAAGTGCTGAGGACTTTGATCCTCTCAGAGTCTGCAATATCTGCATATACATTTACACAGAGAATGCACTAGAGCCACTTCTGATCAGGAAATACCCACATTTCCTATCTACCTGAAACTCAGTCTCAAGGTGATTCTGTGTTAATATTTTCAATGTAACTGCATATGACTATGACCCATCATGAGGCCAGGCAGGGAATTTTTTTAGTTGTAGCATTATGTAGCATATTTTAGGATTTAAAGACAAAAGATATACTCAGAAGGCAAACCTGGGAGTTGGCCCATTAAGAAATAAAAAAAAAATCCCTTCTTCCAGTAGAGAAACTCAGCAGATGGAGGAAATCACAGGAGTCAAGCAAGCGCCTACCTCATAACTCTGCCACCAGTTGGGGACGTTGGGCCGTAACTTCTGGTCACAGACGACCTTTCTCATTTCCTCAATAGAAGGGTCGGAGGGCACTAAATCATAATATGGCAGTTGATAGTCTTCGTGGACTCCTAGGAGAAAAGAAAATAACCTAGTCACCACAGAAGGAAGGACACATTACTTCAAACCCAGTTACAGCCATGCTGTGAGCTGTGTAATGGTTTCTCACAAAGATGAACCCAGTTCCTCTGTAGAAGGCTGCTGACTCCAGCCTGGTACCAAGCAGCCCCCAGCACAGCCACACACATCGCTGGGGCCTCTAGTTCCAGCATGTGGGAGGCTGGAGAGGAGTGCTGTGAGTTCAAGCTAGTCTCACAACCCTATCTCAAACACAAAGTCAAAACAAAAACTGACATGCATAGCCAAAACAAAGTCTTTATTCACTCAAAAAAAGGCACAGAAAATGTTGGATTACTAGGGTCACATGAGCATTTCCCAATGGACCAAGTTGAAAACATCTAAATAGACTAGGAAGTCTGACAGGTGCAGTGTTTGTATTTTATTGGATGTGAGGGTGATCTGGCTTCGACATCTGGATTGCCAGGGTTGACTCAGCTGACCTGGCCGGCTAGGCAGGTGTCCCTCTCCTTCCTTACTACTAAAGCTGTGCACCTCCCCTAAATGAAAGAGGATTGATCTTCAGTCAAGTGTACACAAGTAGCTGCTCTCCCCTGCTAGAACCTCCAAACAAGCTCTCTTTTCTTTTGAGATAGGATCTCTCTACTTAGTACTAGCTGTCCTGGAACTCACTAAGTAGACCAGCTGGCCTTGAACTCAGAGATCCTCCTGCCTCAAGCATGCACCATCTTGCCAGGAGGAAACAGTATTTTAACTCATCAGTTCACAATAGTACTAGAAAAAGAAAGCTCTGTTTCCCTGTCAGGTGCTGAGAGTGAAGCGGCTCTTCTGAAACCCCTGGGTGTTGGGAAGGAGAGCGTCCTCCTGCACTTCCTATGCAAGCATACACTGGGAAGGAGAGCGTCCTCCTGCACTTCCTATGCAAGCATACACTGGGAAGGAGAGCGTCCTCCTGCACTTCCTATGCAAGCATACAGTGTGGAAAGCAAACAGGTAAGCGGGTACAAGTACTTCATTATTTCCCCCCCACCTTTTTTTTTTTTTTTGGTTTGAGACAGGGTCTCATATGGGGTTCAGGCTGGTCTTAAATCCATAGTTCCTAGCCTTAGTTTCTCAAGTGAGCTAAGGATGTGGGCCAGCATATGCCCTGGCAGTGTTTCTTTACAAGAACAAACACAGCTGACTCACAGGAGGTAAAAACCTTGAAAGAATGCTGGCATGTTGGATTTTTACCTCTGACTGTCAACATCATAAAGGGAAGGACCAACATTCTGTACTTTGTATTAGAAGCCCATGCTAATACCCATGAAATACTTTTGTTCCAAATAAACAAAAAAATTCCCAATCTAGATGTGATTTTAACAGATACTAAACTACTAATTCACAGGAACTGTCTGGAACAGGAGGCCACATGGACTACACGAGAGGCAATCTGTGAAAGACTACAGGACATCTGACTGAATTCTCCAATAGAGTGAAGTGAAGAGGGGAAAAACGGAGGTAAACTTGAAGAGTAAAAGACTTCAGGGTGCATTAGCTGTAGTGATGGCATTTGTACTCTGATTTGAACTTGTGTGTGTTGTCAAGCCCAAAGCCTCACACAACCAGGCAAGCACTTTGCTACTACTCTGCTACAGATATATGTCCTACCCCAGTGTTCCTTTTTGTTTTCAAGAGAGAGCCTAGTTATATGTAGCCTAGGCTGGCTCCAAAATGTCAATCCTCCTGTCTCAGCCTCCTGGGTACTAGGATTATAGGCTGCACCACCTCTACCACCAAACTACACCCACAGCACTCCATCCACCTCCTGACAGGGTCTCACTCAATTCACAGGGGGCTCAGCTTGTAATCCTCCTGCTTTCAGCGCCCCATGATTCACTCTTAGAGTGACTGTGGTGTGTTAAATTCTTATCCTTTAGGTTTACACATAAGAATACATAGTAAGTGCTGGGCAGTGGAAGAGCATGCCTTTAATCCAAGCACTCGGGAGGCAGAGACAGGCAGATCTCTGAGTTCTGAGACCAACCTGGTCTCAAAAACAGTTCCAGGACAGCCAGAGCTACACAGAGAAAACCTGTCTCAAAACAAAAACAAACAAACAAACAAACAAACAAGCAAACAAGCAAACAAACTAATCCATAATAAAAAGTTACAAAATCCGAAGCTGGGCCCAGTGATGCAGACTTGCAATCCTAGTACTGAGGAGCCTGAGGAGGCGTGAGGGTCCCAGGTCAGTCTGGGGTGAGGTGAGACAGCTGTACTCTTCTCACCTTTGGCCCCATTCAAACAACAAACATGCCACTGCCCTGCACTGACGGGACCCTGTTTACTTGTTTTCAGTGTGTGCGCATGCGTGTCAGAGAGACAGGGAAGGTGGTGCACATGTGGAGGTCCGAGGACAACTTTTTGGGAGTTGGTGCTTTCTTACTTTGGGTTCTGGGGCTTAAAGTCAGGTTTTCAGGCTTGTAATGTAAGTAACTTTATCTTCTAAGACATTTTGGCAGCCCTCAAGTAAGATTTATTGATTTGTTTGTTTGTATATTTGTGAAATGGTTTTTCAAGACAGAGTCTCTCTGTGTAGTCCTGGCTGTCCTGCAACTTGCTCTGTAGACCAGGCTGGCCTTGAGCTCACAGATCCATGTGCCTCTGCCTTCTGAATGCTGGGATTAAAGAAATGTACCACCACCTGGAAAGATTTTTTTTTTTAAAGAATTATTTATTTTAGCCGGGGGAAGTGGTGCATACCTTTAGTTCCAACACACGGGAAACAGAGGCAGGCAGATCTATATCTTGAAAAATCAGAAATGAAAGATTTATTCCATGTGTGTCTCCTGCAAGTGTGTATGTGTACCATGTATGTGCCCAGTGCTGGTAGAGGCAGGAGGAAGGAGTCAGATCCCCTGGATCTAAAGTCAGGGATGGCTGTGAGATACGTTAAGCTGGGAACCTGGATCCTCTCTAAGAGCAGTAGGTGCTCTTAATTATTGAGCATCTCTCCAGCCTATGAGGTAAGATTTTTAAACAGAGAATTTGCTTTGGTAATAACTATTTGAGGGGCAGTTGGGAGCTGAAGCTCATACCTTGGAATGCTAGACTTTCAGCTATGTGACCTTATACATTACTTAACCTTTCTCTGACTCATTTCTTTCATCTACAAAATAAGGATAACACTTGTATCTACTTTACAAGTTTGAATGAAGATATTAATGAGTGCACACAGCCAATGGTGAAGACACGCTGCAGTTATTGCATATTGAGCCCTAGTTTCTGGTTGCCATTAGAAAGAAGACAAGAACTTATTGACAGTGTAAGCATTGTATGACAGGACTAAGGAAACATATCAGGGGGTAATGGGCCTGTGTGTAAGCATGAGGAACTCAAGTAACATCTAGGACAGGTAACAGCTAGGACATGTCTGTAACCCCAGTGCAGGAGAACGGATAAAGACAAGAGGATTCCTGGAACACATTAGTCATCCAGCCTAACTCTTGAGCTCCAGGTTCAGTCTCAAAACCATGAGGTAAACCTCTGGCCTCCACATGCACACATATATACACATACCTATGGGAACATGTACATACATCACACACAAAAAATTATTTTTAAAAAGACCCATGACAATTTTCTTTGTGGAAAGAGAGATGCTGGGGCTTATACTATACATATATAATACGTACACATATATGTATACATACATACATATATACATATGTATTACATTCTAGCACTATCACTGAGCTACATTCTACCTCCAGAATTTTCCTAACCAGCTTTTACTTAGTCACACTGATCACAATCTAAGAGGTCCAAATCCACGAATACCTAAGTATCTCCTCCATTACTTGCATCTAATCACACACATCACAGCTAGAAAAGGGTAGGAACAGAAAAAAGGGCCCCATTGGAAAATCTACCAGCTATTTTTAATCCAGCTACTTCCACTGCCCTAGGATTTTTCATCAGATGTGAAAGGCTGAAGGGAGGGCCCTAGAGGCTCTGGAACTGGAGCACATGCTGGAATATTTGGAGGCCATCATAAAACACTCACATAAGCTAACAATAAAAAATTTTCCTGCTAAATATGATGCTACCTTTTCTCCAAGTTTTGACATGAATAAGCAACTGTAACTGTAAGGTTTTTGTTTTTTAATTATGAGAGAAAAAAAATCATTTAAAGAAACTCTTAAGCGCTCTTGTCAACCACGAAAGCTCTACTCTTAGTATAAGGAGGAAACACAAAGAAAGGTTCCCCAGAGATGTGACTAGGAATGTGTCTGGAAGGCCTACATGTTAGAACAAACTGCCTCTGATTCCTAAGACCCTGCCTTAACCTTGACCCAAGTGCATCCTAGAGATTCTCCTCTACTGTGACTTAAAAATAAAGACAGTGAACAAAAGAAGAGAGGAGAGAAGAGGAGGGGAGGGGAGAGGAGGAAAGGAGATGGGAGAGTAGGGAAGGGAGATAGGAAAAAAGAGAGTGAGTCACATATCTAATAACCTATCAAAATAGTTATCACAAAGAACAACACTATTTAACAAGCTGGTCCCTAAGCTTAGAGAGTATGGAAGAGTCTTGTTAAGTATGAACAAAGTCCTGAGTTCATCCCTAGCCCATGCAAATGAATATAACACCAAGCTGCCCTCTCATCTCAGCACAGCTGGATGTAGAAAAGTGGGGCACCAGCACCATTAGGTAATTCATAACCCTGAAAGCCAGAGCACGAGTAGACAGTACCTCCAGAATTGCATCTTCGAGCAATCTCCCAGTATACAAGTCCAAGAGCATAGATATCGGCACACTTGAAGGAGTCAAAGTGCTTCATGTTGATGGTTTCATCAAGTACTTCAGGAGCCATGTATCTGGAATGGCAAGAAACACAGTTATGTACAGTACATGAGGTCTGGATGTGTAAGAACACTACTCCAATGCAGCTCTTTGGGGAGCAGGAGTGAGCACTTGTCTCTACTGCACAACCTGCTTTGGACTCAAAGCTACAAGTTTCAGCATAGATGATTTTTACTGGAGCTTGTTTGGATTCCTAGACACAGTCTGTTTTGTGGGACCATATAGGTAGTGATGGAAGGTTGCTACTGGAGCCTTCCCTTTACAGAGAAGACACACTGACAGAGTGAGCTTACATTTCATTCCGAATTTCTGTTATCTTACCCAGTTTCGGATAGGTGCAAACAATTCTAGAGGTGATCAAAAGCACACTTGGTGACTCTGAGCAGTAATTGTGTGTAATTACATGCCCCACCTACACTTTGGAGCCTGGGCAGATGCAATCTCAGGTCAAAAGGACAAAAAGCAGCAACATAATTAATTCACTTAGCTGCAGCACAGACCTTCTCTTCCACCCTCCATCTTATGATGTCAACTATACAGTTCCTTCACTTCTTAATCAAGTGGAAAGCAGGCCATAACCCTTCAGGTAGCCAGTCCCAAGTCTTCATTAGTTCTGCTCCAGGCTGGCACCCCTGCTCTGTAAGCTCAAATAAGGTACGTGCCCTGCCTCCTTCAAGGGGTTCTACAAACCACCCTCTGCATTTCAGTGCTGCCCACTGACCCTAGGCAGGACTGGTGTCTACCCTCCCAAACCCTGCTCCAGAATCTATCTTTTGTTTTTTTAAGACAAAGTTTTTCTATGCAGCCCTTGGCTGTCCTGGAACTTGGTCTATAGACCAGGCTGGCCTCAAACTCAAGAGATCCATCTACCTCTGCCTTCCAAGTGCTGGGATTAAAAGTGCTACTACTGCCTAGCTTTTTTATTTTTAGTTATCTTCATTATTTTTATTCGTGTGTGTGTGTGTGTGTGCGCGTGTGCGTGCGCGCGCGCGTGCACATATCCAATGAGGCCAGAAGAGGACTCTGGATCTGCCGGAGCTGGAATTATCGGTGGTTGTGAGCCACCCAACTTGATATGGGTGCTGGGAACCAAATGTGGGTCCTCTACAAGAGCAGTATATGCTCTTAATTACTGAGTCATCTCTCCAGGAATCCTTACCCCATTTTTTTTTTTTTTTTTTTTTTGAGACAGGGTCTCACTATGTATTTGAACTCACAGAGAGATCTGCCTGGCTCTGCCTCCTGAGTGCTGGGACTAAAGGCATGTGACACCAAGCCAGGACTCCTGCCCCAAATTTTTTCTCCATTGCCTTTTGCCAGGGCATAGTGCACAGTTCTGTGGAGCTTACACTCCTGGCACTAGTGCTTGTTAGATACTGCTGTGCAGTGTTCCAAGTGAGGAAAGAAAGCTCAACATTTGCCATTCAAGGACAAGGAGACAGACATCTCCTCTTCCACCTCCTCCTGTGTGGGGCATCTAGGCAAGCCGATGAATGAAGGCTGGAGCCTAGGGCCTTCCTACCGTTTGGTTCCCACCCTCTGATTTGGAGCAATGTCAATGGTGTCAGTAACTGCATCATGACGGACAGCCAGGCCCAGGTCTGCAATGGCACACATGCCATTCTTCTTCACCAGGATGTTCTTTGACTTTAAGTCTCGATGAGCAATTCCGGGCTTCCCTGGCAGAGACAAAACCAGGCACATTTAAAATTGATGCATACATGGAAAATGCATGGATTCCGAGCCAGTCTGTCCTGGCTCCACTTCCCACAAACCAGTGATCCCACAGAGTAGCTCAGCCTTCTCTTCCGGACATTAAAATAATGGCACTTCATGGGAATGTAGGGAGGATAAAGCATTCCCAGAAGGAGTTGACATACCTCAGAATGACATGATTATTGCTAAACACTAAAACACTACTGCTCACCAGCCCCAAAGAGCCCACATAGGTCAGGTGGACGACTGAGCATACAAAGCTGATGGCTCTGAAGACTGGGACTGCCATTAGTCCTGCAGCACTAGGGCCTGACTATCACACTGGTTTTCTACCACACCTAGTAAGAGCCAGTGCCCAGGGCCAACCAAGCTGCTGGGGTGAGCTCAGTATCTGGAGTAAGTCCAGTATCTGGAGCCAATAGGACCATCTAGCATAAAGCCTGGGTCCTCTTCAGGAAAGCTTGCAGACAGGTGGCCCAATGTCTTGTCACCATGAGACGTGCAAGGCAGTGCCCAACCTCAGCATGAGATTACTACACTCCTGCCTCTGGTATCCTGGGCCTCTTCTTAGTTCCACTCTTTCACAGTGCACCCCAAAATGCTGTTTAAACCACTGTGGCACATGTTAACAGCAACCAAGCCTTCACCTCAGACCTTCCCTAGGGGAGGGCTAATGGCAGAGCCAACAGAGAAACCCTCTTTAGCTTTTGTTCCTGCTCAGATAGTCTGGCACTGTTCCTCAGATGGTGATGTGTAGTGAGATAGTCCTTCTGTGGCACTGACCACGCCCATTGGGGGGGTGGAACCATGGGCGGAGTGACCTGTGGAAGGAGGTCGGAGGGAGAGCGAGGAAAAGCTCTCTTGCTGGCGTGACTCGGACAGGAGAGGATCGGGTTGAATTTCCTGGTGTTCATCTGTCTAGGTTGTAAGTTATTTCTCCCTGAATAAACATCTATTCGGCCTATTTGTTTATCCTGATCCTTATTTAACCGCGTTAGTGATGGACAGACCTTTTGTCTCAAGCTTCCTGCTCCTTAACTGAGTTTACTACCCACCTTGAGTGCCCACAATCTCCATGTGCAGGTGTGCCAACCCACTAGCTGCAGACAAGGCCAGCTTAATCATCCCCTCAATGGTCACTGTGTAGCGGTTCAGATAATCAAACAGGGAACCATGCTCATGATAGTCAGAGACAAGCCACAGCTGGGTCCAGGTGCCATTGTCTGCAGGAAACAAAGAAGGTCTGAACAGAAGGAATGGTAAACAACAAGTAAGAAGGCCTATAATGCAAGCAAACAATGCCAGGTTCAGGAGGACCCTGAATTTACACTTCTTGCCTCTATATCCCTGGCTGCCCCTTGAGCCCACTTCCCTATGGCAACCTCCAGAGAGGACAGGGGACAGCACTTCTTTTTTAGTCCTGCTCCCTTATCCAAGTGAGTGTGGTTGTTTGAATGAGATATCCTCCACAGAGATCTGCTGGTCCCTGTCTCCCAAGTGCTGGAATTAAAGGCGTGTGCCACCACACCCAGCTACTTTCTTTCTTTCTTTCTTTTTATTTATTTATTTATTTATTATTTATTATTTATTTATTTATTTTTAACCACTTTATCCTGTTTCTTTTTCTCTCCTAAGCCTATGTATATGTTAAAACACACTGTAAAACTTTAGAGGTTTTTCTTAATCTGTCTTTAATGTAATTCTTTACCTTTTTTTCCATGAGTCTTTTATCTGCTAAACAACATTGTTAAAATTAAAGCCACAGCTGTATTAGCCATGGTCTATCCAAAGGTGGGGGGTACATTTAGCACCAGCATTGAGAGCTGTGCTGCTCACCACCTTGGTCTCTGCTGCATCCAGCAGCATGCTTGAAGATGTGGTCATTGCCAGCTCTCATACACACCATTAAGTTGTTAGCAGAGCTTCTTAAAAGCCTTTCGGTTTTTTTTGCTGTTATGCTGGGTCAAGAAATCTCCCTTAAAGGAGCTGTGCAAATCTCTGCTTATCTCTAGCAAAACAGAGCCCAACCGAGAAAAATGCTGCTACCAGGAAGACTTGTTTGTCTCGTTCTTTTGTTTTTAAAATCCCTTTTTAAGCCTTTGTCAAGTTTTAAGTGAAAGTTCTCGGGTCCCACATTGTAGGCGCCATTTTGTTAAGAGCAGTTTTCCTGCCAGCCTGGTCCCACAGCCACATCAGCCCCAAATAACATACTGTATTAGATACAAAGCTGTTGGCCAGCTACTAGTGTTTCTTATTTGGCTAGCTCTGTCTTAAAGATTAACCCATTTCTACTAATCTTAATATTTCTACATGGTCTTATCTTACTGGAGAGAGAGGGTCCGGGCTTCTCTCTTGACTCTCTCTTACTACTACATCTACTAGAATCCTCCTTGTCTCCTAGTCCCACCTATCTTGCTTTCCTATTTGCCGACAGTGCTTTATTCTTTAACCAATAAGAGAAACATATTTACAGAATGACATCTCCCATCAGCTGGAGGAAGGCTTTGAGGTTTTGAAAGTCCTGAGCCACCCTTCTGCTTGTATTTCAAGATGTGAGCTCTCAGCAGCTGTTCCAGCAGCCTGCTGCCTCTGCTTTACCATCACGGACTCAACTCTGAGCAGTGGGCACAAAGGAAACTCTTCTCTAAGTTGCTTTGGTTGTAGTGTTTTATCGAAGCAACAGACAGACAAGCGTTTGAGACAGCGGGAAAACTGAAAAGGAGTGGAGGCAATTCTAAACAATTCAGCATCTTACTGCAAAATTTGTAATGTGGGGCAGCTAGGAAAGAACAATGTGTGCATAGGGAAAGCAACAGGTTCTAACCCTGATGTGAGGCTCACAAGGCTACACTCACCACTGCCAAGGAGAAACGCCTCAAACGCTTCTCCCCTCCCTGAATGCTGTGTGACCATTTGATCATAACCCATCCCAACATTCGCCTCACTGGAAATGTTTCTTTCCAGCCTGTGGCCATCCTCAGGCAAGGAGTCACAATGAGAGCAGGAAGACCTTCTTTGTACTGTTATGGAACCAAAAATACTTTTCCATGCATGAGTAGCCACTCTGAAGTATTCCAGGAAGCCCATCTTGTCCTTTAGAGACAAGATGGGTAACATTCAATGCCTTTTCTTTTTTTCACATGCAGTAGCAGGATGGTGGATGGGAGAGGAAGGGAAGGAAGAAAAGGGCCAGGAATCAATAGAGGTTATGCTGCTGTCACTGGGAGGCACTAAGCACTAAGAGCTTCCAAATTCTGGCTGGGTGTTGGTGGCACAAACCTTTAATCCTAGCACTCGGGAGGCAGAGGCAGGCGGATCTCTATGAGTTCAAGGCCAGCCTGGTCTATAGAGCTAGTTCCAAGACAGACAGGCTCCAAAGCAATACAGAGAAACCCTGTCTTGAAAAACCAAAAAGAGCTTCCAAATTCTAGGTTGGTGTTATTTCCAGGGCATCACCCTACATAGATCATGGTAAAAGGGCAAGAACAAAGGAGCCTGACTTCCTTCTTCCCTGACTCTAATGTGGTGGCACCAGCCAGGTCACAATTCATCTGTACCTTGGAACCTCTGACCACAACAAGGGCCACACTCTAACTTGCAACTACTTCCCGAAGGCCCACTGGTTTGTTATAAGGTTTGAGCCTTCCAATGATTCTAGAATGTTTGGAAGAGCAGCTGCTTTCTCAGAAGGCTGACATTCTTCTTCCCCTATATTTGAACCCACAGCTCTTCAGCTTGGGGGCAGCTGGGGCCATCAACAACCCTACAGCACTGTGAGGAATGAGCTCTGTTGTGTTAGTAGCAAAACCAAAGCTTGGCATTTCCCATAGTCTCAGTGGACATGAGCCTCTAAAGTTATTGTGAAACAGAGCAAGCTGACATGCCAGACACTTCTGAAACATGACCCAGTTGCCTCACAATTTCTGTGTTCCAGGTATATTACCTGCCTGACGTCTGTCCCCCTTTCCCCTGGGAACTCTGTGTAGTTCATTTTTATGTAAGATGGTTTGGAAGACTGGTAGGCCTTTTGTCTCTTTTGGGCAGTGTTCTAATTATTACCTCTGTGTTCAGTATCAAATGCAGTCCTCTCAGTGTTTCCTTAAAGTGTTTGCTGTGCAAAATTGAGGATCTGAGTTCAGATTCCCACCACTCATGGTATTGTCATGTATGATAAAGCGTGAGGAACCTTGGCAGACAGAACGTAGTGAGAAGTTTTATTAGAAAGGAAAAAGGGGGGGGAGGAGGTAAAGAGACACAGAGGACAGAAGAGAAGAGGGAGAAGGTAAAGTCCTGTCTGTCCCGGGGAACAGCAGGAAAGAGAGAGGGAAGAGAGTGTAAGTAGGTGGGGGTCTTCTTTTAAATGGGTCCTTTGTCCCTGCATGCTACCCAGGGTACTGCCTGAGTGCATTCTGCCAGGTAACACGGGCAGGCCAGCATAATGCCTGAATCCTTACAGGTATGACAATGCTCCTGTAACACTAGCATTGGACTGGGGGTGAAGACAGGAGGATCACAGGGGCTTGATGGCAGCTAGTCCAGTAAATCATTGAGCTTTGGTTTTTGTAAGGGACTATCTCAAAAAATAGGGCAGTGAACAATACAGGAAGACAAAGACATTGACTTCTAGCCACCACACATGGGCATACACACATCCTACCCAAAAGCCCAGTGTAACCTGGTCTCTGCCTACCCCTCCACTGGTTCCCTCATGTTAACTGCAGAATCCCCAAACACACCTCATCTTTGCACAGGTACAATGTGCTTTTCCTTTTTGTCCAGTTTTTGCCACCTCTGTCAGGCTCACATGTGACTTATGTGACCTGCCTTCGGTATCACTCACCTAGACTGGCTTGCACTTGCCATCTACCTACCATTTGTTAGTTTATCCATCAGTGAGGTCCTCAAAATAGGGATGTGTCTGGGCACAAACAAAAGCCTCAAAACAGTAGCAAGCCAGCTGAGTGTGGACCACACATCTGTAAATTTCAGCACTTGAGAGGCTGAAACACAAAGGCTATATCTGAGGCCAGGCTGTACTATATAGCAGGACTCTGCCTCAACACTTACCCTCCCTCACAAAGAAGCAAGAAAAGAAAAGAGGAGGAGAGGGGGAAATAGAGGGGAAGGATCATCATCAGCAGCAGCAGCAGCTCAGGGGCCTCAGACACACAACAGACCAAAAACTGAGTTCCATAACCACTAGGTAACACTCTGGGGATAGGCAAGTCTTTGTTCTTGGGGGCTGCCAAGAACAAATGTATATAATGCTGGTTGTGTTGTAAAACATGACTGTGTGCATTTCTGTCACCATTCTTCCCTGGGAGGGTGAAACCATTAATTCCTTATTGTAGGGATTTTCAAAATAAACAAATGGGAGCCCCAACAGCAACTACAGTAGGAGCAAGTCTGGGATAAAATCAAGGAAGTGGAAGTGCTTGCAGGGTGAGGGTGAGTCCTTTCCTACCTGCTAATAATCCAGTTTCTGTGTGAGCCTCTCTTGGCAGAAAAGGTTCCACATTTTAAAAGGGTTTGAAACTAGCTAGGTCTCTCTAGTGTCCCCTGTCCCATGCCACTGACTCCAGGACACTTTGTACCTTTATTGTCAGCAGCAATAAATCCAAGGATGTTTTCGTGGCGCAGCATGACTGTCTGGTAGATCTCTGCTTCCCGGAACCATGACCGCTCTTCACGAGAAGAGAAGATTTTCACAGCCACATCACCACCTCGCCAGCGGCCACGCCATACTTCACCAAACCGGCCCTTGCCGATTATCTCTTGTAAAACAATGGTTCGGGCCACCGTGCGCTGAACAAAGAGGGGTAACCCTGTGGGCCAAAGAATGAAGAGAAATCTGATGTTGAAAATCTTCTAAACTCTGGACATGCTACTCAGTTTATGTTTCCAGAAAGGTCCTCAACAAGGTGCCTCTCCAGTCTCCCCTGGTCCAGTAGCCACAGAGTGTTACAACAAGGGCCGAACCATGCTAGGAACCAGGGAGTGGGCTAAGAGCAAGTCAACATAGAAAAACACATGTGATTAGCTGCCCCTAGCCAAGAACTTTTCTGGTCTGTGTGGATGAGAAAGCTGCATGTTAATCTTTGATCACATTTATCAACTCATCAGTATGTGCTTTATTCTGATGGAAGCAGGAAATGAAAGCAGGTCTCCTTAAGAGGACAATGACTTCCTGGCCAGCCTGCTCACTAGCCACTAGAGGGCGATGCTGTGTGGCCAACAGGACCTATGATCTAAGTTCATAGGGTGGGTACCCAGCTCTCTAGAGAGCTCTAGTCACAGGAAGGCTCCAGGTGTATTACCCATATTAATTCATGACTCACTTTACTGTCTTGTAGGGTTTATCACTGCTCCATTTGACTCATTCAGTGTCTATCTCTCTGTCTACAAGGTAACCCTTATCATCATAACTGACTTTATCTTCTTCCATTCCTTCCCTGGACCAAATAACAGCTGTTAGTAATCCCTGGGTTTGGTGGATTTGCTGTGTGCTTAATATGCATGACACTCTATGCTAAGGGTTTTACATAAATTACCTCATTTCTTCTTGCTCAGTAAGGCAGGCATTGTTATTATCCCCATTGTACAGACAGAAAACTAATAAAGCTCAAAAGGGGATATTATATAACTCGCTCAAATTACTACAAACAGTTAAAAGGCAGAGCAGGAATTAAAACTCTAGGACCTGACTCCAAGGTTCATGCTTTTAACTACACTGGATAGGACTGCCAAAAGTTTCTCTAGTCAGACCAATCCTTCCCCTCAAGCTTGTGCCCTGTCCTACTCGGCCCCTTTTTTAAAAGACTTCCAACCGGTCTTTCCACTTCATTTTACCCTGCCATTGCCTTACACACCCACATACAGCCCTGCTTCACCCCGCCCTTTCTAACAGGAGACTAGCAAGTAAATGAATCCATCCTCCACACCACTGTCAAAATTTCATTTCATCCAAGGGGGGGGGGTGTGAAGGGCGGAGGGTGGGGGGGGACAAAAACACAAAACAAAACAAAAAAAAAAAAACCCCTTCATTTGCCCATGCAAGATAAAGTGTGGTCCCATAGCCCTGGATACCTGGCCAGCCTGCCTCTGCCTGCTCTAAGCATACTATGCCCAACTCCTTATTATGAGTCTTTAAATACCACAAACCTTCATGGTCTTTTTTTCCTTTACATTCAGAGTCTGTTCTGTGGCCTGGAATATTCCCTGCCTGCTTATCTCACTTACAATTTGAACCTGTTCAACACTTCCTCTAATGTACATGCCTCTATAAGATTCTTCAATCATCCCATCAGCCTATCCAATCACAGACCAGCTTTTTTTTCAATCTTTGTTTCCAGAGGGCATTCAGCATACATTTGTTAAAAAGACCCAGAAGTCATATCCATAAAGACAGCATTATTAAAAACTTAATAGCCAGGTTAGAGATGGCTCAATGGTTAAGAACACATACCGAGCCAGGTGTGTTGGCACACACCTTTAATCCCAGCACTTGGGAGGCAAGGATCACTGTAAGTTTGACATTATCCTGGTCTATGTAGTGAGTTCCAGGCCAGCCAAGGCCCCTTTGGCCTCCAAGGGCACCTACTCACCTGTACATACCCCCTCCCCCAACACACAAACAATTTAAAAAAGCAAAACTAAAAACAAGACCAACACCTTGGAAGTTCTGTACATGCTGTACCAAAAATGGTACTTCCCAAGGGGAAGTAGTCATTAACTATTTTAGTCTAAACAAAATGTGTACCAAGACACCCCGACCTCAGCTGGCTTGGATCTGAAAAACCCTGGGACATAAGACTCTATCTCCTAGGTACTTCCAGCTACTGCCCTGCCTTTGGTGGAAAAGCATACGCCAGATATTTTGTAGGTTTCTAAAAATATGCAGCTTTTAAATATATTCATGTTGGTGCTCTCTCCTGCCGAGCTTCATAACGGCAAAACCACTGACATTCAGGAGATGTCAGGCCTCACAGGACTCTCTGTGTTCTCGGAGGGCATCTAGCCATGACTGATGGCACAATGTCCACAATAACCACAGTCCAACCCATGGCAGGGAAACAGAGTCACAGTGAGACCTGTGTTCCAGCTCACATGACAACACACTACCCTCTCAATGTTTTTCTGTGCTAGAGAAGAATGGGATAGCTCTAAAATGATCATTTATGTCCACCACAACAGCAGCAACACTCTCGTAGTCAATTTTGCATCTGAGTTAGCTGGGCTGGGATTTTGAGACAGGGACTCACTATGTAGTCCTGGTTGGCCTGACACTTACTAGGCAGCCTGTGCAGGCCTTGAACTTGAGGCAGTTCTCCTGCCTCAGCCTCCCCAGTGCTAGTGCTGGGATTACAGATGATTTCAGCTATGTTCTGTCACGCCCACATATTGAACTTTTTCTGTTTTTGTTAGCTGAATTATTTCCTGAGACCTAAATAACCTCAGCTCTCTTCATCCTGAGTTCTGGTTTCATGTTAAGGTCCAATGCTGAGTTCATCTAAGAAAGCCTTGGACAACAACAGGCACTACAGGAAATGGAGGCCAAACTATGCTGGAAGCCCAAGCTGCCTTTCCAATAACTCTCACCAAAAGCCCATGGGCAATGGAACAAGTCAATGATTCACCAAATCTTCATTCTAAGCTTTGCTCAGTGTCCTCAAACTCCCCTTGTGGCGGCTCAGAGATCAATGATTAGCTGTCAGCACCTCACAGGAATTCAGCACACTGTTGTTTCTCAAAAGGAGCCCTTAAACTGAGCATGTCACTGCTCAGACAGAACCAGCTCAATGTTCATAGACACACAGCTACAAAAGCTGGAGAGGGGCAGAGTTTCTGCAAGAGAAAGTTTTACACTTGACCTCTGGTATCTTGGGGAATGAAAGATTTTTGGTGTAGCCATTATCATATATTATTACACGTCAGACTCCAGATGAGGGGGAATTATGAAATCAAATGACTCAACACAGCAGGGCCTCTGGCCTTCCTCATAAACACTCTGTTGCTGGGAACCAGTTGTGAGGGCCAACAAGCACAGTGCCCAGAGAACCTAGTACCTGAGCCAGACCCTGACGTGGAGAGATCGTAGACAAGATCCTGCAGTGTCTTGTCTTTGGAGAGACACATCTCACACGAGGGGTCCTCCATGTCCAGTCTCTGGCGGTTGTGGTAGACACGCTGGTGATAGTTGATGACAAGGAAAACAATGATGATGATGAGAAACAGGAGGAAGACTGGGCCAGCGATAATGCCCACCAGCTCCACGGGGCCCCACATGGAGGGGTGCTCAGGCTCCTTGAGGTGCCCTGGGAAAATGAGCAAGAGGAGGGAAGAAACAGTAAAAACAAGAGAATGCTGTGGCCCAATTCATCCCTGAAACTGTACCTCACATAGAAGACCGTCAGCTGTAGGTTTCCTCTGGTCTTCCTGGGATAGCCTAGGCCTCAATGTTCTCCAATGGCACCTTTCACTAAGTGAAGCACTCCTTCAACAGTGGAACCAAACCTACTCTGGAAGTTCCAGAATTGCAAGCTTGGCCCAGGCTCCTCCAGGCTCCTCCAGGCTCTGGTTAGAAAGACCTGTTGTGGCAGACCTGCCCAAGAAGATGTCTAACACTATTCCACTGTTATGACCACTCTTTCTTTTGTTTTCCTTTGAGATAGGGTTTCTCTGTAGCTTTGGAGCCTGTCCTGGAACTCATTCAGTAGACCAGGCTGGCTTTGAACTCACAGATCCGCTTGCCTCTGCCTCCCAAGTACTGGGATTAAAGGCGTGCAACACCACTGCCTGGCCATCACTACCCTTTCTAATTCTAGCCTTCCTCATACCAACTCATTCTGTGCCCAGAGCAGAGCCCTTCACATGGCCCTGCTGCTGAGATCCTCTACCCACAAGTAGATGGCAGCTCTAAGACTCTGGGAAATCTGCTCTTCTCACCTTCTGAACAAAAATTCTGATTAGGAAGGAAGGAAGTCTAGCCTTTGTCATTACCTCAGGGAGCACCTAAAGACCACCTTTCGCTATTGGGATGGGGGGATTGGGGAAGAGCAGAGAAGAATGGAGTCCACTCACCGCTGGGCACCCTGAGGTCAATCTTGTTGCAGAAGTCAGTATAGCAGCAGTGGGTATTGCGCAGATCCTCAGAGCTCAGACAGTAGAAGGGCTTTCCAGCAGGGACCAGCTCCACCTTGGGGATGCAGGTGCGCACATGGTGCTCCATGCCATCCAGGTTGAAGATGGAGACCATGCAGGCCCCATCTGTTTCACACGTGTAGTTGGTCTGTAGGCAGCTGGTACAGGCACACAGCAGAGCTAAGGACACAGAGGAGTAGATATTAACAGTAATGTCAGACCTTCCTTTAGTTCCTCTCCCAGACTCAGAACGACCCATCTGCATACTTCATATCCCCCAATTAAGCAGCTTTTATAGAAATGGGGGCAGAAAGACAGCCTCAGCAAGGCACCTTTGCACCTTATTTAGCTCATAGATGAAGTTTTATAGATCCCACCATTTCTAACTGCTCTGTTCTATGCCAATGAAAGACAAATGAACCACCTACTCCTTCCAAATGATCCAGCTAAGTGGATATAGCCTTCCCTTTGGAGAACAGGTACTCCCCATACTCCACACAAAGCTACCCAAGACTCCTTGGAGCCAGTCTCATCTGATCTGTTTTTGGGCACCAAGCATCCCAGTTTCTAGGACATAGCATGTATGCCCTCATCCATCCTTTCGCTGCAATGATGTTGTTTTTTCTTGCCCAAATCCTTCAAAATTACCATGTCCTTTGAAAAGCTTTCCCTGGCCCTCCATTATTACCTCCTCTTTTTAGTTCATGTTTGGTACCCCTCTCATGAGGAACATGCTCTCCATAGAGAATATGAATGTCCACTTCACAAAGTTATTGTGAGGAGGAAATGAGATCATGAATATAAAGTGTGTAATAAATTTAACCCATACCAAAAGGCCCCAGGCAGCACTTGGCATGCATATGTGCCCTCATGTGCATGTGTGTGACATTCCTTCCCTCCCTCCCCCCCTCCTTTTTTCAACTAGGCAGTATACACAGTCCCCACTGGGACTAATGAGTTTTGCTGGGTATGTACCACACACGAGTGTGTACCACTGACAGGAAATCACTGTAAATGAATTTGGCGCCTCTGAAAGCTGCTCAGCGGTCCTGGAATCTGAAATCCTTTATTTATCTGGCTCACAAGAATAGCACAGACAGTTGGTACTCCTCTACTGTCTCCTAAGCCTAACCTAGCCCTGACCTCCTGGGATGGGCAGGAATGTAGCATTGGCTACAATACTGAAGTTGGTACTTGCAGTGCTGAATGAGGCATTCACTAATGGGGGGAGAGAGGGAAAGGGTACCAGACTTCCATGGCACACTCTGTGGGAAGGCCTGCATATTAAGCCTCTAGAGCAAAAAGGTTTAGGGCCAATCCAAAGGAAAACCTAGGCTGCAAAGAGTTTATCTTCATCTGTTCTCTGAAAGTCATCCCTTAGCTTTGCAAATCCAAACACAACCCAACCTACCCCAGACTGTCTATAAATGAGGCAATCCTTTGCTGGTCCCATTCAAGGACACAAGGTATGGGGAGAGGGGTGTGTGAGAGGCAAGCAGGTAGACACACAAGCCCTTCCATGCAGGACCTGTGTATTTTTTTTTACACTGTTTATGAGATCTATATCTTCTGAGGCGAATTCCCAAACATGCAGCTACCTGCCAACAGCTTGGGTCATACTACTTCTTACAGGCAGAGAGTTTGAAGTAGGTAATTGTGAGACAAGGACTCAGATTATAAAAGGAGCTTTGGCAGCAAGTTTCCCCTCAATCTCAGTTCTAACCTTCTAGTCACAAGACAAAGAAAACCTCAAGTTTTCCTCCCAAAATTGCATTTGCAAATTCTCTCATTCTGTTTCTGTTTGAGACGGGTTCACTAAGTAGTCCAGCCTGAACCCTCCACCCTCCCGTCTCTACAGTGCTAAGATCACAGGCCTAGGCCTCCAAGCCAGGCTCTGTCTTACTCCTCTTAAGAACTTAAAATTTATTCAAGTCTCAGAAAAACTTGGCAGGATCCCCTTTTCTTCCTCTAGGAGTCCTGCTAACCCAAGAAGGAGCCTTTGATAACTCCCTTTTGTGTCCCTTTGGGGTTCCCTACAGGGAGCACACCTCTCAGTACCAAGTTGTGACGTCCAGCAAAGAGAACAGCCTTGGGTCTATTTTGGGAACTAGAAAGGGAAATTAACAACTTCAAGAGATGACTATTCTGAGCACAGTGAGACACACGGCCAAACCCACAGCCTCCTTTTGGAAAGCAGTCACTTCAGAGTCCATCAATTAGGGGCAGAGTAGTCAGGGGTCCCTGATTCCTGACATTTGTTCTTCTTTCGCTGGTGCTGGCCTCGTTCACAAATGATTCATTCTGGAGAATGAACACACCCACACATGGCTCATTATTTTTGGGAAGTACTTAGACAATCTTGGTGTAAGACAGAAAAGAGCAGAAGTGGCGAAATCTATGCTAGAAGCTAGGAAATGGACCATGTGGGTTTGTGATAAGGAGTTGGGCAAGTCCCTGAGCCTATCTGAGCCTCAACTATCCAACCAACAAACACCATTTATCTTACAGAGACAAGAGGGAAATTAGCCAAGCGTCTGCTAAGTGCTGGGGCTCCCCTGGGCAAGGCCCACTCCACCCACTGTGTACATCTTTGCCTTTTGCAGAGCAAGTGACAAGCCTAAACAGACACACTTTGAAGATAACCATCTCCACTAACCACACTCTGAAAAGACCTAATTTACATCACCAGGAGTGACAGTGAGTATCATGGAGCAACAGGTCACAGAGACCTGAAGCCTAAATGCCAGTTCTAGTACTGGCCACATGACCTAGAACTCAACAGTTGGCACTCCTGTACCATTCACTCTACTGTACTGGGCTGACAAAGTAAAGTAGGACTGTTAATGACTGGTTCATAGGACTATATAAACATTACACAAGGTAATATGCCATAAAAGAACTTGAGATAGGATGTACTTGATAAACATGAACTCTTTTAATGTAAAAATTGAAATAAAAAAGACACAGGGAAAATGCCTCTTACATTAACTAGGAAGTGGCTAGTCGAAGTCTCAGGAAGAAACTGCTAACAGTCATGTGGCTTGTGTGGCTTTGGGCAAGTCACCCAACCTCTCTCAACCTCACTTTCCTCATGATAAACCGGGAAAGGATGCTGAAGGAGACAATTTCTCAAGCCCTTTCCAGCAACAAGTTCTCTTCTGAGTCCACTCTTCAGAAAATACCCTATGACTCCAATTGCTCTGCTCTGGGTTCTTGGCCCTTTCCTAAATGCCTTTAAAGACACATGTCTTGGCTACTCACCTGCTAATATTTTTCACTGAAACAAAAGAAACAGTAATAAAATTACAAGCATGCTCTGAACTTATTACAAACTTAGCATCCTAAATATAATTCTTTCTGAAAAGCTAAATCTGGGCTAATGACAACAGCCCCTTGTAATGTTTCATGGTGACTCATGAGGTCAAAGTCTGCACATGAGTATAAACAACACTGTGCACCTAAAACACTCCTTATTCTCCCACCAAGCAAGATATATTAGGAGTGACAACCACAGGGGAGCCACCAACTCACTCTGTGTGTAAATAAGTTAGGGGCCGGGAATTTACTTAGCGGTAGAGGCCTGTCTGCACACGTAAGGCCCTAGGTTTAGTCCCCAGCACTGTACATTTAAAAAAAAAAAAGGGGGGGGGAATGAAATAAAAAAAAAAAAAAGGGGGTCAGAACACAAGCAGCCGTCCCCAGAACAGACTTTCTGTTATTAACCAGTCTAATTAGTAAAATCTGAACTAAAGACAAAGCTGTGGCGGCAGGACTGGAGTATGGTTCAAAGTCTGTCTGACTAGAAGGTGGTTTGTGGTAGGATGTCAATGCAAATTCGATTCAGAAGAAAGGTTGTTTTGAGAAAGGTGAAGTCCCAACTTGGGCACATTCTGGCTGCTGTATGTTCGGCAGAGCCTCAGGAGAACAAAGATCCCCAAAGCGGTGTTCAGCTGGGAAGCCCAGGAATCACCCAGAGCTTAGACTCACAGTCTCACAAGACATCACTAAATGCCCACAACCTCCAAAAGCATACTGCCCAGCAGCCTGCTCTGTCCAGGAATCGGCCACAAACACATCTAAACAGTTCCAAGGCTAGAGCAGCCATGATTCTTAATGATTCATTAATCCTTAGAAGGCTAGAGCAGCCATGATTCTTAATGATTCATTAATCCTTAGGGACGATACCCCATGGAGCACTATCCCAAAGAGGCACACGTCAGACCCAGAAGTCTTTAGGACTAGTGGATGCAGGAGTGGTGATCACATCACTGGGCAGCTCCTACTAAGCAGCATCTGACCCCATCACTGTACGAACAGCAGTGGTCTATAGTATCAGGACCTCATCCAATCTCCCTTACAGCTTTTCAATTTTGCTGTTGATGCATCGATCAGGGTTGTGTCTGGTGGGTGCTCTTTTCTGATAGGCTGATACTTTATACTTTTAGAATCCAGGGCCTCTGGCATGGTAGGTAAGGGCTCTACTATTGAGCCATGAAAGTAAGTTCCATAGGGTTAAGACAAAGACAGACACCAGCTTTCTAGCATGGTATGATACATTCAGCTGTTGCTGTTAAGTGCACACAGCACAGACTGGTTCCATTATTCTGTTAGCCTCATTCTCTTACATGGTCCCCACAGAACTCAGAGCTGAGGCAGATGTAGCTGTTCTACTTTATGAGGAACAAGGCCTTAGGAAAGGTAAGGGGCTCACAAACGATATACAAGCAAGAGATAGTGCCACATCTCCAGTCTCCAAACTTACAATCCAGGAGTTCCCAGTACTCCCCAATGTCCCCTTGACAAGGCCCAGGGCCCCTAACTTTCAGAACCACTGGAAACACCTTCAAATGTATTCTCACCCCATCAGGTCAAATATGCTTTTGTTTTCCTGAGCAGAGGACCCTACCAAGTCTTCCCACAGCTTGCCTCCAGCTTGATCCTCCTGCCTTCCAGGCTGCTGGCTTTGTCAAGCACATCACTGCAGCTGGTCATACCTATTTTTCGAAGGCAGGTCTGTATAAGCAGTAAAAGTTCCTTTTTATTGTGAGGCAGAAGGCACATGACACATGGCCAGTCTTTGACAGTTTGCATTTCATCATCTCACTCTCTTTATTCATAGACATTTTACCTCCTTAAAAAGTGCCAAACCAGCCAGGCAGTGGTGGCGCACAACTTTAATT